CTGTACTGTACACAGTATGTGTTTGTACGTGGGGCACCAAGTGTTGAGGATCTGCCACTGAAAACCTATAGGAGGAAACGGTAAACCAACATGGAAAACTGTTGGGTCTCACATGTGCACTAATACAATATCTGCAGGATGTATTTGAGTATATTTGCATAGATAGAGCATATTCCTCAAAGCAAGACTGGTAATAGCCTACTACTTATCATGCTACAGCATATGCTGGTGATAATGTGGTATCTGTGTGCAGCATGGCACAACGCATGGCATTTTGGTCAGGCCCCAGAAACACAAAAATACAGCATTGAAGAATGTCTTTGGAATGAAGAGTACCAGACAGTTCTCATTTTAAGCGTCCATCTGATCAGATATTGATGCTGTATTAAACCATTCTAATGCAACATCATTGTCTGATGCAACACTGTGGCAAAGGAAATGAGGAAATTCAGCTTTCTGACTCACGCACCAATAATCGTTAATAGAATCTTAGGTCATAAGCGTCAAATACAGTTCTTCAAATTACTATTAGACAAAATAATAGCAGTCAAGAGAGGCTAGTTTAAAGACGACATTAGGCCCTGGGCAAAAGTAGTACACTATATAGGAAATAGGGTGCCATTTGGGGCAAATTCAGTGTGAATTCATCTCATGCTGCTTGCCACCCAGTTGGAATGTCCCTTTGAAATGTGTGGCTCACAATACAGAATGCTTTGAGTGACCCCTGGTGGTGCTAACAATGAGATTGGGGTGAATCTCAATTGTATTTCCTTCATTACCGCACCCTCTCTCCTCATGCCTGTCTCAAAAAGAATAGGTGTTCCTCCAATGCGTTTTGAGGAGAAGAATCAAGGATAAACAATTGTGATACACCGTTGTTTTCACTTACAATTTGTATGACTACTTTAATATTATATTTTTATTGAATACTTTTTTTTTTGTATAGATGCTGCACTATTGAGAGGAGAGCTTGTGAGAAAGCATTTAATTGTACTGCTGTATTCTGTGCATATGACAAATTTGATTGATTGAACTCTTTGGCATGCTGATCCCCTCCCACTAGATGGAGATGGAGCAGAAGCAGCCTTTCATTTTCCAAAATGTGTTCCATGCCAACAGCGACACTGTCGGAGTGGTCTCACATCCAAAACACAAGTCATATACTGTCCCTCTCAGTTAATTCCAATATGTGTGTATGTCAGACCTGGGTTCAAATACTATTTGCATTTAGGGTATTCCAATTACTTACAAAGACATTTGGAAGTAAGTATTTAAATATCAAATCAAATTTTATTTGTCACATTCACGTGTTTAGCAGATGTTATTGCGGGTGTAGCGAAACGCTTGTGCTTCTAGCTCCGACAGTGCAGTAATATCTAACAATTTCACAACATATACCCAATACACACAAATCTAAGTAAGGAAGGGAATTAACAATATATACATATATGGACAAGCAATGACAGAGCGGCATGGACTAAGATACAGTAGAATATTATAGAATACAGTATATACATATGAGATGAGTAATGCAAGATATGTAAACATTATTAAAGTGACTAGTGTTCCCTTTCTTAAAGTGGCCAGTGATTTCAATAGGCAGCAGCAGCCTCTAATGTGCTAGTGATGGCTATTTAACAGTCTGATGGCCTTTTGTTTTATTCTACTTTTTTTTGTAAAAATAAATGCACTGTTGGTTAAGGGCTGTAAGTAAGCATTTCACTGTAATGTTTGCACCTGTTGTATTCGGCGCATGTGGCCAATAAAATTTGATTTGATTTGATTTGAGATAGAAGCTGTTTTTCATTCTCTCGGTCCCAGCTTTGCTGCGCCTGTACTGACCTCGCCTTCTGGATGATAGCGGGGTGAACAGGCAGTGGCTCGGATGGTTGATGTTTTATTTGAAAAGACAAGTAGTTGAATATTGGAATGTATTTGGAAATACACTTGGAATGTATTAGAAAATACTCAAATACACTGACTCAAATACACTCCCATGCATTTAACCCATGTATTTGAAAAAAAGTCTTTGAAATAAGTATTTGAAAATACTTTCAAATAGTAGGCTATTTATAGGAAATTATAAAAAAAAATACTCTAATACACAGACAATAAGTATTTAAATAACAAATACACATGTATTTGAACCTAGGTGTATGTACAGGCACAGAACAGCAGTGCCTTCAGTTCTAACTTTGGCTGTCAAGCCCAAAAAATGCAGTGTGTATTCAGTTAACTCCAGGCCAGTCAAAGACTATGATTAAGTTGCATGGTTTGAAATATTCCACAGATGCTTTCCTCACAAAATGGTCTTCCCAAAAGAGATGTATCCCAGATTTAAGACGTCACTTCTAATTGAACCGTTGTGAATTACGATGAAATAAGATGACACGGTTAGGAAGAAAGACGCCACAGCGTGATTTACTTGAATAAAACTGTATATTTTACAGATCTTTGTACACTTTAATTACAAAACTGTATGGTACTACATTTTTTAATCAGTTTTTGGTCAGAGAATATTTAAATCGTCTTGTGTGCAATTACCATGTATTTACAAAGTCTCATGTTAGTGATTTATCAAAGAAAGCAACCAAATAACTCCAAAATGTTCATACACTCAACATAAGACATGGCTTAAAGATAAATATATTAGTAAATAAATATTCAGAACATATTTCCATTTATGAAATGTGCTGCTATACAGATGCAGAAATATACAGATTGATTTCTAGCCTTTTTAAACATTTGTAAAATGGTAATGATGGAGAAAATAATTATATTCTTAAATTGTTTTTAAAAAAGCATTTTTTTTGTACACATTTTCTTTTTATATAATCTTCTTAAGTGCTACAAACAATTTCAAAAAATTAAATAGTGACTTGCGTACCCCACAATGTTCATTTGCAGTACATCTCTATGCAAAGGCAAGATTAGATTCTCAATATCTTTAATTTATTAGGGCTCTGGTTTAACATATAAATATTGTTATTTCAAAATGAATGCCTCTGTGAAGAGAATGGGTACATTTCATAGAAACAGTAGAACACAGTCTGTAAAACAAACAGAAAGAAGGTATGAATGAACAAACAACGTTGATATTGTTTGTGAGCATGATGATTAAAAAAAGAATCAGATATGCTGCTTTTTTTGTAACTGCGTTGTAAAAAATAAATAAACAAAAACATACAGCCACAGTATAAAAGGGATCCCTTGTGAATGGTACTCTTTTTTTCCTTTGGAATTTTTTTTTTAGACACACAAGAGCCTCATACGACCATCTATATTAGAGCTTAAGTGTTGAGGAGGCTAGATGAGTACTGCAAAAAAATTAAAAGAGCTTCTAAACTACAAATAGTAACTAAAATTGAGGAAACCAATCCTTTCAAGATTTCCAAATCTCTTTCTAGGAACTCAGAGAAACCCTGTCACTATGTGGACCTCTATTCAACCAAAAAGTGACACAGTCCCGCCCCAGATAGTAAGTATGGCTCGCTGGCCTAAGGCTTGGTGTTGGTCTCGTACATTTTCTAAAAGGCACAATGTTCTGAACATTGCAGACAGAAATGTTAAATATAGAACAGACATTCTTTATTATGTAGAACAGAGAAGTCAGTCTACATTCTATCCGCATTGTTCTAGAATGTTGCGCCACATTGAGTGAGTATACCACCAACAGACAGAACTGTAGTGTAGCTTGTATAGCTTAGTTTCATCTTCCCAATGAGAGAAGTGGGTGACTGACTGACACTGGCTGTCCTCCAACTACCAAAGATCCCATTCCCCACCCAACCCCCTAAAAAGAAAAAAGAAATGTGTTTTATGTTTTGGTATTCTTCCATAACCTTTCATCTCAGTTGGTGGTTTGTTGAAGCTTGTTATCCAAGCTGTGTAGGTAACTGTATGTCATAAAAGCAGTACAGTACAAACATAGTCAGGTCTAAAATTATTGGCACCCCTGATAAAGTTGAGCAAAAAAAAAGAGCTATATTGTATTCATTTTTTTTGGGGGGGGGGGGAATGATATTATTTTATACTAATACAATTGCTCAGAGGAAGATACTTTGTTTAACAAGTAATACAAAAAAATCCCCGAAAGATAATGGTCAAAATTATTGGCACCCGTTTTCAATACTTAAGCACCCTTAGTTAGGATAATGACACGGAGTCTTTTTCTAAAATGTTTAATGAGATTGGAGAACACATTGGGAGGGATCTTAGACCATTCCTCCATACCTAATATTTCCAGATCCTTGATATCCTTCAACTGCACTTATGGATTGCCCTCTTCAATTCAAACCACAGGTTTTCAATCGGGTTCAAGTCCAGAGCATATAATATAGCTCAGTATTTGTATTATTTATTGTATACAGTCTTTTTCAAGGTGCCAATAATTTTGGACCTGACTGTACATATAGTACATCCAGGCGTTTGTGCAATAAGAATTAAGAAAAAAAAAAATAGGACACAAATCCTCAAACGTTTTGCACAAAATGGAGTTAAGATATCATGTGAAGAAAAACAACTCACCAAATCAGAAAATACAATCTCACAAACTGGGCCCACCTAACACAATTAGTTTCTCTCCTAATGGGTCCTCATGATCTGGACTGACCCTGGCTGGTACTGATGGTATGTGGTAGTAGCCTACATGTCGTGTTGTGCCCCTGCCAAGCCAACCACTGTTGGAACCAACCACCGTGAACTTCCACCCATATGTTGTAGCCTGATTCTCTATCTATCCCAGCCTGTAGACGCTGCTGGTGAGGCCACAAGGTGGGCTGAGCCACAGGAATGAACTGGATAGGCCTGGTTACACCAGGCAGGCAGGCCATCATATCATTTTCAGTAGAAATCCACACCATCACCATATAGTATGATAACATTCAGAGCTCAGCGAGCGAGCGAGGCTTAGAACAAGGCAACTGAGGGTTTGTTGATTGACTGACTGAACGATTGACTGGTTCGGTACCAAAGAGGCTGTTTCTGGGCTCCACACCCCCTCATATACCCCCAAGCCCCTCATATGTAGCTTTACTGTTTCCCGATGCATCGTGGTTAGTGGAGTTCTGGGGGTGGAACAGGGCCCTGGTTTCTTCCTCCTGGGTGGGGTACATTTGACCTCTGAACTGTCCTGAAGTGAAGTACCCCCCTTCACCAGGCTCCACCCGCAACCGAGTCCCAGTCCGCCCCTCGCCCCCTTGCCCCTCCCCCGTGATCAGGCTGCCTGGCAGTAGGCTGCTCTGGGTCTCCGCCCCCAAGCCCGGCTCACAGTCTGTGTCCTCGTGGATTATGGGTATTCTCTGGCTGAGCTCGCCACAGCAGCCCTGTCCCGAGCAGGCGTCTGAGTCTGCAGCGTGGTGTGCGTACTGCACGTTCACGGCATAGTCCTCGTTATAGCGCCCCCCTGTGGCCCGGTGGACCTTCATCTCCTTGTAGAAGAAGCAGGGCAGGCCCTCGTAACTCACCTGCTCCGACGGAGACAACAGGTGCTCCCCCGGGCCGTAAAAGTTCTGCTGATGCTGAGAGGCGGAGCTCTGCTGATGGAACTCCGCCCCCCTGTGACAGCCACGCCCCGAGGAGGCCAGAGACCCCGCCGTGTCCGAGTCCTGCCCCTGCTGACCTATGCACTCCATGTTTGGTGGGAGTACCTCGAAACAGCAGCTACACGCCCCTGCTCCGGCTCCCCCCAGGCCATGATGCCCCCCTATCTCCTCCCCTGTCTGCCCCCCCTTCCCCCTGTCCGCGGCTCCTTCTAGAGGGCAGGCTGAGGTAGTGCAAGTGGTGCTGGTGTCCCTGGGTTGCTCCGGTGACGAGCGGCTGCTGTAGTTGGGCTCCAGACCGCAGCTGGAGAGCTGGTCCCCTGAGCCGAACCCACAGGCCCCTGGAGGAGGCTGTGGCTGCAGATTGCAGCCGTCTTGGCCCCCCGAGGGAGCTGGGGTTAGGGAGTCCTCGGCTGTGGAGGGGCAGGCGGTGGAGGCCCCTGCGGATGTGGCCCCTGGCTCCCCTTGCGACCCCCTGCAGGGGCTCTTACTGCGGTAGACGTAGGGGTCGTAGTCAGAGCTCAGGGAGCTGCGGAAGGTAGAACAGGAGCCGTACACCCCCTGGTTGCTAACCTCGGTGCAGTCCAGCATAGAGTCACTGGAGGAACAGTGGCACTGGCCCGAACTGTTGCTGCTGCTGTCGCTGCCCGGACAGTCGGCCAGATAACCGCTGCACATAGAGCGGTGGCCATGGTAACAGCCCAGGCCCGAGGCACCGCTCCCTGCCTCACCTATCCTGGAGCTGGTAGCGGGGGCCATGTGGACCACCGTGGGGTAGAGCAGACCCCCCTGGAAGGCCCTGCTGTGGTGGCCCTTGTGGGGCCCGGCGCCCCCAGCCACCCCCCCTCCGCCTGCAGCCCCCTCACCCTGCTGGGGGAAGGTCAGGCCCTGGAAGTAGTAGTGTTGGTACATGGTCTCGTACTGCGAGTAGCAGGCAGCACGCGAGAAGCTGCGCCCGTGGAATTTGGGCCTCTTGAAGGCTCCATGGTGGGGCCCGGACTGCTGGTGCTGGGGGTAGGTGGGGGGGTTGAGGCCCAGGCCACAGTGGTGGGGGTTGATAGAGTGGTCCAGGTGCATGGTAGTGTGGGGGTGGTAGCCCCGGAGGAAGGCCCCGGCGTGGGCAGACTGGGGAGGGTACAGGCCCTGGGGGTCTGGGTGGTGGTCCACAGTGAGCACTGTGATGGGGTTACCATGGGGGTCCATGGAGGTGCGGGTGGGGTAGGTAGTCACCTGCCCAGCACGGTGCACCCTGCCTGGGTAGTGGACAGGCAGGACTACCCTCTGCTGCCGGCTGTGGACGGGGTTGCCATCCATGCAGATAGGGCCGGGGTTCCCCTTCTTTTGCTCTGAGAAGAGGGGTGTGAGAGAAGGAGAGCGTTTGAGTAAGGTTAACCTAGAGAGTCAAAGAAGAGTCTTTCAAAGGTTAGCTATGTTACAGTTAGGGTTTCATGTGCTGTAATATTTACTTTATTTAATGAAAAGGGTATTTTAAGTCAATTACATTTTGCTTTTACTGTTTTAGTGGGTTGTGTAGTCTGACAAAAGTGCTGACAGGAAAACTCTTATGAGAGAGCCACAGGCCACAGGCCGACAGTGTGTGCATCCCAAATGGCACCCTGTTCCCTATATAGTGCACTACTTTAGACCAGGGCACATAGGGAATAGAGTGCCATTTGGGATGCTGCCAGTGTGTACCAACTCACCGATTATGTTGTGTCTACAGTGAGGGCAGGTGTGGTGCTGAAGGAGCCAAGGGTCCACACACTTCTTATGGAACCTGTGGGCACAGGGGATGACCCGCAGCTCCTGTTGAGGGGAAGGAGAGGAGGAGAAGAACAGGAGGAGAAGGAAATAGGGGGAGAGCAGGAGAGGGGGAAGAAGAAGAGAGGGGGAGAGTAAAGGACATTATTGGCGTTTGATGGGTGAATGGCCAACAGGTGGCAGCAAAGCAGCAAGAAGGTTTCTCTTCTTCACCGGTGTCACATTATACATCAGTATCCAGCTACACTGAACAAATCCAACCTCACAATCAAACCCAAGACTACACTACCCATCATGACAGCGCAGAGCCCTCCAACTAAACCAGTCACCCTTATTCTCAATCCTGACGCCATGCTGTTGGCCGAGCCAGAGAGAGCTTTAGACAGAACACAGGGATTCCAAGACTCACTAACACAAAGAAGGATCATTATTATTCCGTTCTTGGACAGAGTTTTTCCCCTCAGTCTCTCTCGCCCTTTCCCTCTCTCTCTACCCCTCTCCTTCTCTCCCTCCCTCTCTCTCTGCCCCTCTCCTTCTCCCCCTCCCTCTCTCCCCCTCCTTCTCTCCCTCCCTCTCTCTCTCTCTCCCCCTCCTCTCCCTCCCTCTCCCCCTCTCCTTCTCTCCCTACCTCTCTCTCCTCCCTCTCCCCCTCTCCTTCTCTCCCTTCCTCTCTCTCCCCCTCTCCTTCTCTCCCTTCCTCTCTCTCTCCCTCTCTCTCTCCCCTCTCCTTCTCTCCCTCCCTCTCTCCCTCTCTCTCTCCCCCCTAGCATGACTCATCTCCTCTTTGGGCTCTCTCCCTCCCATCTTTTGTGTCTTACTTCACTGCCCTTTGATGCCATTCAGCCTTTTATATCACTACTATGCATTGTTGTGTGTTTTCTTCCCCTGGTTTCCCGAGACAACACATAACACACTCACTGACTGACTGGGTCCCCTGGGGGACAGGGGCTCTGGGGTTGGTCGTTTGATGTCCCCAGGCTGGGCCATGATTAGCAACGCAGTTACTGTAAACCTTCAAAGGTCCCAGATAAGGGTCTAGGAAACATCTTTCTACAGTGACTTCAGAAACAAAATCAGTTTGGCCTTAAACTCACCACTTTCAAATACCACTCCAATTCAAATGCTACTCTCCGACATAACAAAGTCTCTCACAACTAGTTTTTATTGACAGTATTCTGTGTGTGTGTGTGTGTGTGTGTGTGTGTGTTCTCTCTCGCACCTCTCCGTCGATGTACTTCTCCAGGCAGATAGCGCAGTCGGAGGTGGAGCTACTGCTCAGCGAATCCGACACCCCGCAGCTGCTCTCGCGCTGCCCTTTGACCTTGGCCTTGAACTTCCTGGTCTCCATCTTCTCCAGGGCCTGGATGGCCATCCTGTTCATAGAACTCTGGAGACACGGAGAGAGGGAGAAGAGAGAGGAGGGAAAGAAAGGGTCAGGCTGGGAGTAATGGTACACAACAGGTACATAAAGACAGGTTTACAGTGTTGGTAGACAGGTTTACGGTGTTGGTAGACAGGTACAGTCTTGGTAGACAGGTACAGTCTTGGTAGACAGGTTTACAGTGTTGGTCATGTAGCCTACATAGATAGAGCAATATGTTGAGGACAGAGTGTCCTTAGCATGCCCCCGTGTGAACTAAACTGGAAAGAGGTTTCGTAACGTGTGACAATCCGCCGCTGGTGTCAACTGCTATTTTAATGAATGCTTCAAGGAAGTCGGCATGGTTCATCAGCATCACCGTCGCTCGTCAGGAACACACACACGCAAACAGAAACAGGTGCGTGCACACACTGCCAGGTAATCCCAAACGCGGTCCCCTGGAGTGTGTTTCTCTGTCTAACACACACACACACACACACACACAGGTGTGCTGGCAAGATTTCACCTGTCCTCAGGGTTAGTACTGTACTGCTCTCCAAAGTGAATTAGATGTTAATCCGGACTCATGGACCGGTCCAGGCCTACAGTACAGTAACATCTCTAACCCTATGTGAACTAGCATTCTGGGGAACATGGTGGAGCACTGTGTGTGTCCCCTCACCTGGCTTCTCCTCTGTTTTAGTTTGATCTTGATGAGCAGTATGAGGCAGACCAGAGATACCACTACGAAGAAGGCCAGGAAGATCCCCATGTCAAAGTACTCTGTAGGCTGCTGCAGGGAGGGAGACAGAGGGATAAGGGTTTGTTAAATGATGTCTATTCCACCAAAGGCAGACATCTCACACGTGCAGGCACACAGGCATTGAAGCATAGAACTGGGCATAGATGCACCCCTGGCACCATCCATTGATAAATTGACTGTGTGAAATTGTTGTGATATATCGAAGAATAGAGAGAGAGAGAGAGAGAGAGAGAGAGAGAGAGAGAGAGAGAGAGAGAGAGAGAGAGAGAGAGAGAGACTCAGATTTCTCTAGAAGAATGTCTTCCCATGTCTGTAACTGTTAGCTGTGAGACTCAGTATAGTGCTTTGTGAAGTGTGTAGGGTTTAAATGAGAGTTATGATCAAAATATGGTTTGGCTAGTCCATTCACTTGCAGCTGTGCGCGTACACACACACACACACACACACACACACACACACACAACTAGTATTTTCCCAGAAGTTCTGGTTTGGCTCGTCTGGCTCTTACCCTTGGTGGTCTGTGCTGGATCCTGGCACGGGCCACTTTCTGCTTGTTGACTATGTTCATCAGCTTAACAGCATCGGCCCCCTTCACATAAACCACCGGCCTCTTCAGAGGGTCCTCCGCTACCTGGTTCAACTGCAGGAAAGGAGAACACACAACAGGTCAGCTATACAGGAGAACACACACACACAACAGGTCAGCTATGTAGGAGAACACAGACACGGCCAGCTTCCACATTTGGCCCACACCACATCGACCTTCAGTATTGTAAATTAAGAATAAGAACCATGTCCTATCATCAACATAATCTCTCATTTTATTTCCCACTGAGAAAATAACCTGTAGGAGAGAGAGAGAGATGTGGAAACTGTGGACTGCCTCCTCCACTGAGCTCCTCTCTCTTTAGTCCACGTGTCAAACTCATTCCACGGAGGGCCGAGTGTCTGCAGGTTTTCGGTCCTCCCTTGTACTTGATTAATGAATTAAGGTCCCTAATTTGTAAAGAACTCCCCACACCTGGTTGTTTAGGTCTTAATTGAAAGGAAAAACCCAAAACCGCAGACACTAGGCCTTCTGGAATGAGTTTGACACCCCTGTTTTAGTCTGTCAGCCTCCCTCCCTCGTCTGTCAGCCTCCCTCCCTCCCCCTGCTCTCTCTAGTCTCTCCAATCTGTCAGCCTCCCTCCCTCCATGTCCTCTCGTCTGTAATTTAGAAAGGCCAGGGGAAATACCAGGGATATTCACTTTTCAATTTCTTCCCCTGTTGTCATGTTACCAAGTGAAATATGCTCTCACTGGTTACAGTATAGCGAATGGCAAATGGCAATTTCACATACCTTCCTCTGCTTGTGTTCTTCTCACCCTGCAATCTACAAAGTCAATCTAGACTAGGCTCTCAAAAGTGCCAACACTGCTAGCAAAGTTATGCTGCATGTGCTTGAATTGAAGAACAAAGTGAATTTGAAAGATGAGATACTCAACCACTCGAAGTCAAATTGAACTTAAAGTGCTTCTCTATTATCAAAATCACGTTTAACTCAGCATTAAATTAAAGGCTTCGTAAAAGCCGTAAACTTAGTAGATCATGTAAATGACAATAATTTTTTTTTCAAGAAAGAGGTAAAAAAACATTAACTTCATAACCCTCTCTCTCCCTCCTAATTTCACCCGTAGGACATTAACTCTCTAACTCCTCCTCCCTGCCCCTCGGCCTTGTGGGTCGTGTCTGTACCGATTGGGCGGCTGCGACTGGAAACCCTCTTAGGGGAATTTAACCCTGCGGGCCACACTGCCTTTCATGTGGTCCCTTCTCAAGCCTTTCATCTCTGTGGGTCTCTGCTACACTGCTGTTGTTGCCTACAGCCTGGAGGCCTCAACACAGAGAAATCTGCATGTCCGGGCCTGGTGCTGTTGGCCTGGCTGAATACCACAGGAGAATTATTCTCTCTGACAAAGCTGCTACCTACGCTGCACCAGTGGAGGCTAGAGGAGAGACTTCTGTATTACAGGCAGGCAGGGAGCTCACCAGCCGACAACAAAGAAACAGGAACTAGCTCAGGTAGAATGGAGGGAGAGAGAGAGAGAGAGCGAGGGAGAGAGAAGTAGAGAGAGAAAATCAGAGAGAGAAGAGAAAAAAAGAGAGTCAGACGAGAGAGAAAGAGACAAAAGCGAGAGAGACTCAGATTATTCAGGGGTACCAGGGGATGAGGTAATATGTTGGTGTGCAGTAGCAGCTCTAAACTACCTGTGCAATTATGAGCCACAGTGTCTCCGACCCCCCCCCCCCCCCCCCTCTGTCTCAGCCTCCAGTATCTATGCTGCAATAGTCTATGTGCCGGGGGGCTAGGGTCAATTTGTTATATCTGGTGTTATTCTCCTGTCTTATCCAGTGTCCAGTGTGACTTTAAGTATGCTCCCTCTAATTCTCTCTCTCTCTCTCCCGCTCTCCCTCCCCTCCCAGAGGACCTGAGCCCTAGGACCATGCCTCAGGACTACCTGGCCTGATGACTCCTGGCTGTCCCCAGTCCACCTGGTCATGCTGCTGCTCTAGTTTCAACTCTTCTGCCTGCAGCTATGGAGCCCTGACCTGTTCACCTGACATGATACCTTGTCCCAGACCTGCTGTTTTCAACTCTCTCTCTCTCTACCGCACCTGCTATTTCAACCTCTAAATGCCTGGCTATGAAAAGCCAAGTGACATTTACTCCTGATGCACTGACCTGTTGCAACCTCTACAACCACTGTGATTATTATTTGACCCTGCTGGTCACCTATGAATGTTTGAACATCTTGGAGAAAGATCTGGCCTTAATGGCCATTTGCTGTTATAATATCCACCAGGCACAGCCAGAAGGGGACTGGCCACCCCTCAGAGCCTGGTTCCTCTCTAGGTTTCTGCCTTTCTAGGGAGTTTTTCCTAGCCACCGTGCTTCTACATCTGCATTGCTTGCTGTTTGGGGTTTTAGGCTGGGTTTCTGTATAGCACACACATCTGCTGATGTAAAAAGGGCTTTATAAATAAAATGTGATCGATTGATTTGATGAGCTCAACAGAGCACGGAGTAAAAAACTGAATATCAATTCTCTCTCTCTCTCGCTCTTTAGGCAGGCAGGGTAATACTCAGCATACATCCTAAATGGCACCATGTTCCCTATATAGTGCACTACTTTTGACCAGAGCCCTATGCAATATATAGGGAATAGAGTGCAATTTGGAACGGGTCCTTAGGCTCGACCCGAAGCCTCTAATAGCTGAATGAGCCTGCTTCATCAACATGGGTTTGACCAGAAAGAAAGAAAGAAAGAAAGTCTATTGTTGGGCAAACACACAACCTGCTTGTCATAGCAGGGCATGTCTCAGTCAGTTGACAGTGATCTGTTAGGACAGAAGGTCTTTGAAAAGAGAAGACGAATTTGGTGTTTGAATGGAGAGGAATCTGTTTGTAGCAGTAGCATGTTAGCTTAGCTACTCTGTTTCCTTCATTGTTTCCTTCATTGCCTCCTTCATTGAATAAGTGGAGACTTTGGATGTGAGTGCCGTGTGTGTTGAAACTGTGTGTGTGTGTGTGTGTGTGTGTGTGTGTGTGTGTGTGTGTGTGTGTACTGACCTGATCGATGGCATCAGGGTTTTCGGACACGTCAAAGATGACAGCTGTCGCTCCCCTCTGAACCGCTCGCTTCGCCTGCAAGAAACACAGAGAAAAACATAATCAATAGATATGCATAAATCTTAAAAATGAAGATACTACTATCAGTCTCTACTTTCACCTTGAACTCAAATAAGTACATTTGAACCGGAAATTGAAACCGAGAGCCATACAGACAAGATGTTTGAGGTAGGAAAATAGACGTGTTGGCTGACTACGTCATGAAAATGATGCACGCGCATCGAAAGGGGTGCGTTGTTATGATTCTAAATGGCCAGATAGCTAGCAACAATGACAAGAATCTGCCTTGTGGGGAATCCTAGATGGCTAGTTTCGGCTGTATTTGAGAGACAACAAGTGCTTACTGTGCAAATGTGTTTATGTTTTCAATAAGCATTTGGAGAGACTAAATATAGTTTACATATTGTCAACAGTCTAACCCAACCCAGTCTGTTTTGCCCCATAGTTGCGCACACTTCGTTTTTGTGGCTTAACAACCAAAGTGTCTACACTGAGGGTACAAAACATTAAGAACACCTTCCTAATATTGAGTTGCACGCAACCTTTTTAATCCCTCAGAACAGCCTCAATTCGTCAGGGCAAGGTGTCGAAAGCGGGCCAGCATTCCTGTGGAACATGTTGACTCCAATGCTTCCCACAGTTGTGTCAAGTTGGCTGGATGTCCTTTGGGTGCAGGACCATTCTTGATACACATGGGAAACTGTTGAGCGTAAAAAACCCAGCAGTGTTGCAGTTTTTTTACACAAACCGGTGCGCCTGGCACCTACTACCATACCCCGTTCAAAGGCACTAAAATATTTTGCCTTGCCCATTCACCCTCAATGATACATATACACAATCCATGTCTCAATTGTCTCAAGGCTTCAAAATTGCACTCTCACACCCAGCCACTGGAGGGGGTTGTGTGACTTTGAATGGCCTGACTCCAGCAGCAGCTAGGCTCAGCAGCAAGCGAGCGAGAGAGGGAGAGGGAGTCGACCGACCCCAGTCCATGGAGAGGTAAACACCATGATAACATTGGAAGGATGAGCACATGGTCTGTCCCTCAACTCTCTTTCTTACTACATGGTGTCAAGAGAGATAGACCAGTATACCAAATGACAGCCTATTGCCTGTGTAGTGCACGTCTTTTGACCAGGGCCCAGGTCTCTGGTTAAAAGAAGTGCACTAAAAAAGGGAATAGGGTGCCATTTAGGACACACTAAAGAGCTGCCTGTTTTGGTGGGATGGCGTTTTGGCCTGCCTGATGACGTCACCAGGTGGTGAATTAGTCAACAGACCAATAAGAAAGAGAGTTCCAAACCTCTCTGCCAGTAACAGCTCATTTTCAGTTCTCTTTCATTTAACATGTAAGTCATTTAGCAGACGCTCTTATCCAGAGCGACTTATAAATTGGTGCATTCAACTTAGGATAGCCAGTGGGACAACCACCACTGGGGGGAGGGGGGGGTGTAGAAGGATTACTGTTATACTATTCCAGGTATTCCTTAAAGAGGTAGGGTTTCAAGTGTCTCCGGAAGGTGGTCAGTGACTCCGCTGTCCTGGCGTCGTGGGGGAGCTTGTTCCACCATTGGGGTGCCAGAGCAGCGAATAGCTTTGACTGGGCTGAGCGGGAACTGTGCTTCCGTAGAGGTAGGGGGGCTAGCAGGCCAGAGGTGGATGAACGTAGTGCCCTCGTTTGGGTGTAGGGTCTGATCAGAGCCTGAAGGTAAGAAGGTGCCGTTCCCCTCACAGCTCTGTATGCAAGCACCATGGTTTTGTAGTAGATGCAAGCTTCAACTGGAAGCCAGTGGAGTGTGCGGAGGAGCGGGGTGACATGAGAGAACTTGGGAAGGTTGAACACCAGACTGGCTGCAGCGTTCTGGATAAGTTGTAGGGGTTTAATGGCACAGGCAGGGAGCCCAGCCAACAGCGAGTTGCAGTTATCCAGATGGGAGATGACAAGTGCCTGGATTAGGACCTAATTAATTATTTTCGATATCTCACGTGGGGTTCACTAAGGACCGCCTACTCTCGAAAGTATCCATCTAAAACGTCTGTTGGAGACAGACAGGCAAAGTGGCGAATTAGGTGACACTCAATTCCATCAAAGGAGCCACTCCCGCTCTCTGGTTATTCTCACTTATCTTCCTCGCCAGAAGTGTCACTACTCTTGCTCTCCTCATATCGACTGGATACCGGTTGCCAGCTCACAAGTGAACCGTGAAGGATATATCTGCCGAGCATAGGTCTTTAGATCCTGTTGAGAGGTTGACTTCTAACCAGGTTTTTGTTATTAAGTAGAAATTCAAATTTCTACTTCTCAGTCTCCTTTAGTAGCTAGTGTCACTGCTAGCTATTGAGACTCAGTTAGCCCACGCTGCAAGGCTTCGGCTAACTTGGCTAGCTTGCTGAGAGGCAAGCAAACCTCACTAGCATACCTTACCTGCAACACGGTAGGTTTGCTAGCTCCCTTCTCTAGTCTAGTTAAGCTACATTCACCTGTTGTGTTAGCTAGACCGACCCGCTCTGCCTTCACGGCACCGTCGGTCACGGGAGCTTTTTTCTCCGAAGGCTAACTCGGTCACTCGGTTTCCTTCAGCCAGCACTGAGCTAGCCACAGCACACCACCACGAGGTGGCCGCTAGTTAGCTTACGCCCCACTAGCCTCGCGGCTACAGCGTTACAGGGTGCTCAATATTGCTTGCGATTAGCCACAATGCTCCTAACTAGCTAGCTTGGTGTTGCCGTTTACACAAGCTACTCTTTCGCTAGTCACCAGCCGCAGGGCTTCTAACTAGCTATCCTATGCCATCTGCACATTATTTCTTTACAACAGGCGTTGCTCGGGTCCCCATAGCAAGCCTTATCCCTCGAAACGAGCCTAGCCCAGCACTCAAACCCCCACATTCTTGTGTTTGCGGCTCCATGTGATAGAAGATGACTAATTATTACACTCCACTTTGTGAAATGTATTAAGAATAAACAACCGAGCCCAGTTGGGGCGAGGTGATGGATAGCCTTTGACTCCCTCCCCTGACGGTCTGACGAAGTAGTGTCACGGGAAGGCGAGTTAGGGGACGACAAAGGTGACGATGGGATCAATGTCACGGAAATCCTCGAGATAGCACAGGAGTTGGGGACTGATGACCCCGTTCTCCCATCCTCCAATTGAGTTTGAGCTCCTTAACATCTGCAAGCGGACCGCGGCCAGATTCGACATTGAGTGGCCGTCTTCTATAGGGGCTCAAGGCCTGTCAAGGTCTCGGGGATCATTATATTGATTTATAATGGCAAGGATGATAGCCTTCGGAGGGGCTAGGAAGGGCCCTCTCCTATAGGAGTTGACCTTGTGGGCACTGTTTTTGGGACATGTCTCATTATACTGAGATATGAGCCATGTTTTGGTCTTTCCCACCCTTTGTAATTAGGTTTTTCCCAACGGGTTGTCCCTACACCTTCTTGGTGCGTACTACTCCCTTCGTTTCGGGACCTCTGAGGGTTGCTATGTTGGGACTTCCCTGGCTTCGGAGAGCATGTGTTGCAATACGCGACTTTAGTAGTGGCCATATCCCCACGTGAGATATCGAAACTAATAATTGAAAGAGAACTTAAGTTTACCTGTGTAACCTCGGTTCTCTGATATTATGAGTGAGATATCTCACTGCATTTCCCTGCGCACATGAGTGTGAGAAAGAGAAGCATGCTTGATAATAATCAGAGGGCGGGAGAGTGGTTCCTTTTATGGAATTGAGGGTCACACCTCATTCGCCACTCTAACTGTCGGTCTCAAACAGACATTTTTGATTGGTACTTCCAAGAGTAGGCGGTCCTTAGCGAACCCCACGTGTTATATCACACTCATAATTGCAGAGAACCGGGGTTACGCAATTAACCGCAAGTTCTCCTCCCCACTCAGACCTCTCCCAGACAGTCCTAGCAAAATTCTTGCTTGAGAAATTGCTCTTTGCTACGAAGCTATTTTTGTTTCTTTTTGACCATTTTAATTTAAACAATCACAGTAAGAATGTTGCTACGACTGTCTGGGACGGGAAAACTGAAAACTAGCTGTTATTGGCAGAGATGTTTGGAACTCTTTCTTGTTGGCCTATTAACTAATTTATCGCATGGTGATTTACCAAGCAAGCCAAAACTCCATCCCACCAAAAAAGGCAGACATTTCAGGCGGTCATTTCAAACAGCTCTTACACTAAAAGGGCATTATCATACTGTAGAAATATATATAAAATACAGGAAAATCTCATTTTTGACTGCAATTTTGAAGGCCTTTAAATTAATTGTTAACCAGAAATGATTTGATATTGAGATTAAAAACGGCTGCATTGGACCTTTAAGATGAGGGGTAGAAGGAGGGACTAGTGCAACTGTCTGTTAGTTTTTTTAAGGCAAGAGATAAAAGAAACAGTTGAATCAGCAGAATCCAGAATATCCCCTCACTGAATCTAAATTGGCTTCCCCTCAAGTCAGGGGGAGAATAACTTTTTTTTTATCTGAAGGGGGCAATTGCTACATCCATTTTTGGACTTATAAATTAATGATATGTAGCCACGGCTTCTTGAAGAATTTAACTTATAAATGCCTCATGAGCTTAGTTTAACTGTCGTACCCCATCAGAACCCAAAATATTAGCTTATTTTACTCCAATGTTTGTAAACAAAGTAAATGTAAACAAACACTGTATAGCCTCAAAACATGGTTAAAACTATAATTGTTATATCATGGATGGTCAGTCCTTGCATCCATAGGTCTGTCTATGAATTTGAGAGTGATTACATTTCTCAGCTTTTGACCAAAACAGTGGCGGGTAGAACGCTTTTAGGCCCTTTAACGCCTACTTTCCCCGACCAACCAACATCCATTCTGTCTGAGCCCAGGGTTGTATTCATTACACTGATTCTGTTGCAAAAAGTTTTGCAACAGAATCCGTTTACTCCAAACACTGTTGAGTTCCGTTTTGTTCAGTGGTAGGTAAGCGGCTGGAAGAAGTTGTAAGGAACCCAGCGGACTTCATTCCA